CATTAGCTGCCGTCAGGCGCATGCATGTGTCAGACCTCAACCTATGGTCTTTTCCTTTCATCCATTTGGTGTAAAAATTTTCCGTGATTGTCGTCACCTGGGAGCCTGTATCCACAATTGCCTTCACCGCGATGTCCCCAATCGTAATCACCATTTCGGGACAGACTCCCATCATTTTGCTTCTTGGGCCATAACCTCGCCCCTCTGTAGCCTGGCCCTGCCTTACAGAGGACGACCGTTTCCCTGGCAGTACCGTGCCATATGTCCGGGTTGTGAACAGGACAAGCAAATTGGTCGACCGTCAGCCGTCCACCGGAGTGATGGACCGGCGGGTCGCGGCCGTCCAACCTGTCTCTGTTTTGTCCCGTTCTTTTCCTGATTCTCAGCTGTTGACCTGCTTTCCAACCTCTCCAATCTTTGGTCAACCTTATCCAGGTGGGCCAACAGTTGAGCCATCATGGTTTCCACCGTGCCGGTCCCCGTGGGTGGGGATTGTTTCTGTTCCGGCACAGAGACTTTGTCCACCGAACAGTTCGATTGGTCCTCATCCTCGGACCTGCGGATCGCTGAGTTCCTGACCTGAAGGAAGGTCAACTGCGGGTCTTTGTGGACCTCCTCTTTCAACTCTCTCCTTAAGATCGGGGTTGCTAGCCCCTCGATGAACTGGTCCCTCAGTAGGCGTACATCAATGTCAGGTGTTTTGCCCTTTACCGAATCAAAGGCCCTGTTTATTCGGTGTGAATACTCCATCACACTCTCCGCCATTCTCTGCTTTAAGCCTACGAACCGCGATAGCAGTTGCGATCCCGACCGTCTCTCCCCAAAGGTCTCCATAATTAGATCCAGCACCTTATCTGGATCTGATTGGACGGTTTTATCGTGGCATTTGACCTCTGCCCTAACCGTCTCTCCTATACTGCCCATCAGCAGTCTTAATCTTTCCTCTGGTGACATGTTTCTCGAGGCCCAGGCCGCTTTGACCTCTTCACTGAACCTGTTGGTCAAAGTTGGATCACCGTCCCCGTAAAATTTGTTAATGTGGGACTCTCTGGGCAGGACCACAATATGGGTCTGCTTCTCGTCCAGAGTAGACATTTTATTCCTTTAGAAAAAAGAGTTCTTTCTTACCGTGTGTGTATGAAAAAAATTTTCCTCGTTCCTCAATTTTCACTGTTCCTGAATATCCGAATTCACACACACACTAAACACAGTTATGAACTAGGTTGACTATGGGTGCCTAAAGCGGCAAGTCTCGTTGAATTCATCCTGGTCGCAGCGCCAAATGTAACGAGTCCCCGAGTCTATCCTGCCGACAACGCCAAATGTAACGAGTCTCTGGCTACCCTGCCGACAACGCCAAATGTGACCTTCCCGAGTCTAACCACTCATTCCACACAACATTGACCACAGCATAGATACTCGAAGATGCAGGTTCATTATTGATCCTTTTATTACATGAATCAAAGAATGCTTCACAATAATATAATGAATCAAGAGAGATGTTTCACAATAATAGTCTGAATCAACGGACCCCCAACAGTCCTCACTAGGCTTCATCTAACTGAATACACATGTCTAACGTCCTTCTTAACACAATACGGCTAACCCGTTCAATAACCAACTTGATACTGCCACACAGACTGACTGATCGAGCGAGAGCGAGAGAGAGAGAGACTGAGAGACTGCCAGCCCAGCCGTCGCCTTCCTTATTTATCCCCTTCATATCCGTAATCATATTCGGTCCTATCATACTCGTAATCGTAATCGTTGCATTACGCCGCTTCTGTTGTACAGTCCGATTTAATAAGCCATCTGCATCCTGTCACATCAAAGTTGACAGACCGTCTTTCGTATCGCTTCCCGAGATACTACGCCTTGGCTTTCTGATCGTTATCAGCCACCACCTGTGTTATTACATCAGTCGTGTCAAAGTTGACAGCGCTGTACCGCGTTCTTATGTCTGGTAACTTCCCCTAGTTACATATATATATATATATATGTATATATATATATATATATATATATATATATATATATATATAATTCTCTATTTATATAATTCTCTTCATGTGGACCATGCGAGACACCACCAAGACGTAACCTCAACAGACCATAACGCTACCACCCCAACCCCAACCAGTCTGGTGAGCTGTTTACGTGACGGCTATTAGGGGGCAGATAATTTAGTTTTTAAACGATTTGAAACTAAGGGGAGGTAATAACACTTTCTGCTTGATCTTTTCATTGTCGTCTGTAAACTGTCATCACGGATGGCTGCTTTCACGGGGGAAGGGGAGGGGAGGGGGTGAGAGGAGTGGAAAGTGAGGGTGAGGATAATCGTCCTTCACTAGATACTGATGGTGATTTAAAGCAAAATATGTTCAGTCGCAGCATTGGTAGTGTTGAATTCACCAAATAGGAAAAATAGGAAATAAAACAACTAAATAGCGGCGTATGCTACATCGCGGGACAGCTCGTAAGAATTAAAAGACCAGCGGTGGCCAATATGGTGAAAACTTTGTTGAAGGTAATTAAAGATAGCTGAGTAGGCACATTCACGCCTTCATGATCTGTTGCCACATTAAATTAACACCTATAATTACGTTTACGTACCCGAAAGGGGTGAGTCTACCCAGCATGTACCTATCGCCTTTATCATGTATTTCGAATTTGAAAGAAAAACGCTACATTTAACAGCAACATTATTAGTGACCACAATAACAATAAGCAAATATTACCTGCACGCTATAGAAGAATACGTTTATAAGGTATTATTTTTTTACACTACCTAACACTGGCGATCCAATAAGCATGTGGTAAAAAAAAAGTATCTAAAAATAGCTACAACTCAACAGTTTTAATTGTAAGGCAATGAACTTTAGAAAGTTGTGCATGTTTAACTAAGTGATCGCAAATAAGCAGGTTAAAATACTTAACGTTTTTCGTCATGAACCACTTATCTATATCTACAACTTCCACTTGACATTATCTCAAACATTCCATATTTCCAGCATGACGCTGGTGAGTGAATGGCCGTATCTGTGAGTAGCAGCTTCAAGGTCATTTCCTCCTGATTACTGAGACAGTTTTAATATCAAATTGAAAACATTCCAAGGGTCATTTCTAACATTATTAACGCACATAAGTTTATAACTTGGAGTGGAGTCGCCAAGGCAAGCACTGGCCGACCCAGAAAGAAATGGTGTAGCGTGCTGAAGAGAGGCCTAAAGGATAGGAAAGAATTTTCGCGTTTGGAGTTGAAAACTTTGATAGAGGCTCTATGTTCCTCATGGAACAAAAAGGAGAAATGGTGATAATGATTACATCAGTTTATATTGTTTTATAAATTTTTGCCTGATCGAATGTTTTTATCAACAAGGGCCAAGACAGTAAAATAGCAGGTTGTTTGGCCCATCTAACTATCTCGATGGCTGTTTATATTTTCTGTCCTTTGTGTCTTCTTCTTCTTCGTTCTTAATTTTTAGTGTTGGGAGGGATCGAGCCTTATCTGCCAGAGGGTTTGATCTCGAGATTTTTTTTTCGAATTTATCAACCATGAGCTTTGCCGACTCGACCATGCTTCCATGATCCATCACAATTAAGGTTATGCGCCATTGAGGCCATTGACTCCGATTTCAGCCTGCTTTTCTTTTTGGATTTGCTTCCATAGCCTTTGTCCAACCAAGAACAAACTACAACGCAGCAGTCAATGAGTATTTATTTCGGAGTCTATTCCGGGTCTAATGTCAGGCCATACATACCTATTGTTTATTAGTCTTTCTCGTTTATTTTAAAAACTTGATAGTGTTGACCATACTCCTCTAAAAATCTTTCATCAACAAAACAGTAACTTTGTCTTCAATCCTAGACTAAACACAATATTTTAATTCTAAATAGTTTTTTTTCGTTTAGCAATACCAGCAACTACAGTGTGTTGATAAGACTACTGGTCAATTAAATTTCATGTCAAAATATACGGCATAGAGGCCACTACTTTGAGTATTTGATTATATCCAACTTAATATCGTACGATACAATATGTTTGGAGTCTCGGCAAGGCTTATCTCTAGCTCATAGCTTATAAAGCTGAGTATAACGTTTGACCAAAGTACATTTTCAGTCAATGATCCAGGCCATGACAAAACTTTTTACCAACAGTTCCTATAAAGGCACAGGGTGGGTGATTTTTTCTTATTTACCTACATACGCCCACAAAATATAGAACTGCATGGGAAGTCAATTTTCAGCAAATTTTAATTTAAATTAACGCCAAATCATTTTGTTTAAACAAGTTCTTATTTTTTTGTCTCGAGCTTTTTAAATTAAGTATTTACAGTAAAAGATTTAAAAACATAGACAATCACTCGTCCCAAACTTTATATGTAAGCCTACAGTAAACCAAGCTAAAGTTGACATGTGAAACTAGAATAGAGTGTTAATTGCCACTTCCGGTTACCGTACAGTGCTTAAAAAATGTAAATAAAAAAATAAGATGTTAAATCAAATGCGTGTATTTGAAATTGCTTGCGACTCACTGAAACGGAACTCAAGATATCATGTCAACATACAGACAGATGAACAGACATACTCACATACATACATACTAGATTGAAGAACTGGGTTTAGTTGAATATTTAAAAGATAAAAAAAATGTCTCAATTTCAATTGTTCGCACTATATTTTACTATAAAGTAAAAAGGCTTTTTGCCAACCATAAACCGAAGAACGATTTAGGATCAATATTTTGTGAACTATGACGTTAAAAATCATTGTCATTTTTCTGTTTGTTTTGTACATTTTTTATTCATTATTTTGACGGTAAAATTTTAAGTTTTGCTTACATTTGTCTGATATTTGCTTGAAATATTCTTTTGATTAGCTTCCTAGGACCATATTCAATACTACATTAATGAGCAGATATAATGCATTTATAAATAAGAACAAGAAATGATTTTGATAACTTTTTGTTTAATATTTTAAAATTAATTATCATTCTATTTAAGTTTGAGATTGCATTCAAACCAATTGACTTTTAACATTTTGTCATATATAAGATGGTTATTGTCATGCATTAACTGTAATATTAAATTTAATGGAAGAAATAAGCATGCAACGTATAAAAAGTAATGATCAAGTGTGTAATAATTTGCTAGAAAATATTTAAAATAAAATGGTGTACTATGGTAAAAAGATTTTTTACTTCACGCTGCCAGAATTTTCATTGACAGTGTGGTTACACGTCATAAGTATTACTCGAAGTGCTGATGTCAACATATACATCGTTACTCGAAGTGATGATGTCATAATAGACATTGCTACTCGAGTATCTGATTGCAATATAATCAGATTCTACTACGCTAGTTTGCGCTGTTGTCCCCATACACGGTGTCAACATGTGTTATGAGTCCATTGTTTATCCGAAGGTGATTGTACGTGGATTCTTGATTTGAAACAATCGGGGCTGGTGGAGCAACTGCATCAGATACGACTTGAGGGTCAGTTAACGTCTGCGTGTCACCAGCGCCATCATATACGACTTGAGGGCCAGTTAACGTCTGCGTGTCACCAGCGCCATCAGATACGACTTGAGGGCCAGTTAACGTCTGCGTGTCACCAGCGCCATCAGATACGACTTGAGGGCCAGTTAACGTCTGCGTGTCACCAGCGCCATCAGATACGACCCGAGGGCCAGTTAACGTCTGCGTGTCACCAGCCCCATCACTGCACAATGAAGATTTTGCTATCTCATTCTGAACCTGATCAATATCCGAGTAAGCCGTTTCCTCTGTGTCGTTGTTGTTTGCCTCTCGTTCAAACCCGGTAGATATTTGTCTGGTTAAACCTTCAACAGCTATAGATTCGGGATGGGGGTCAGGCGTGGGGAAGGGTCCACGTTTAAGGATGTCTACATTTAGCGCTGGTCTCGTCTTCTGTCTGGTGAGGCGCCTGTTCTTGGTGACTACCCAATATCTGAGGGGGAAAAAAATAATAATCAACATTTTTTAGTCGGCTTAAAACTTTAAGAGCGGAACATATTTAAATTTATAACAATTATAATACTTGTATGAAATGATTAATTGACTTTAAAAAAATTAAATTTTAAATCTCATGTTGTTAAGTATTTTTTAAATACTTTAATACTGTTTTCGATGAATTTTGTATCCATTGTTTGTCGCGATTTCCATTTAGTATTAACAACAAAAAGTTTCAAATTTAATACTTTAATACATTTTAACAATAAAATAAAGACACCGAAATTCCCAAAAATTTAGTTATTTTACCGTACCCAAAATTTGCAGATATTTGCTTAGTATTCTAAATATAATATTTTACAAATGGTGGAAATAACGGATAGATTAATTGTTCAAGATGACAGCCGTGTCATAGTTACCAAGATTTTCTTACCAATTGTGTTTTAGTGAAAATACATATGCGGAAGTACCTTGAAAAAGCTTTAGGGAAATAATTGTTTTTCTAATGATTTTTTTACGGGCGCCTACCCCCTTAAATGTATTAGAAAAGCTTTATATTAAAAAACGAAAAACTTACATCACGATTCCCATCACGATGTTCATTACTAAAGAAACCGCTGTGGTCAGGCTTAAAGCAAACTCCATTGTTGCATCAGCTTAAAATAAGTTGGACACATTTAAAAAAAAATGTTTGTGTTACAATGGGTTGTCAAAACAGAATAGTGTAACACTGTTTAGAGAGTATCTCTCTCTCTCTCTCTCTCTCTCTCAATATATATATATATATATATATATATATATATATATATATATATATATGTGTGTGTGTGTGTATAATTATATATAGTTTAGATATAATAATAGAATTATGTATGTATAGTTCTAGTTACCTTCAAATGTACGATAAGTTGAAGTAATATTGGAAAAATTGGGATTCTCTTTCCCAATACAAACACAGTTTTTGCTAGAGATATTGATGCACTTTTCTGTTTCCTCTGGTTTATTGGTCGTCGTCTCAGGTGTTGGCAATGTGTAATTAAGGATGATTGGGACATCAGGAAAGGTTTCTCTAGCCGGAGTTGTTGTCATGACAGTGTCTCTTAGTCTCAAGCACACTTGGTCACATTGATCCTGATTTTTAGAAGCGACTGCTAAACTCTCTTAGATTATGAAATGATAGTTTAAGAAAATTGTAATTCATAAAAAGTATTGTTCACCCTCAAGCTTCTAAGTAGTTTATCAAACTTAGGGTACTTATAGCATACTCTTTACTCTAACAGCTTAGTGTATTTATACAATTGGAAGACTGCAAACACCATATCCGTATCTCATTGAACATGCTAAACATTAAAGTAGCTTGACACACTAGACGACCCAGTTTCCTTTTCGAAAACGGTTTGTTGGCTGCACTGCACAACACAAATCAATATCCTATTGGCTCATCCCTATAAAGCATCTCTACCCCAAATGAATTACTCTTCCAAGACCGGGACATCCGCCCAGTCCATTAAGGGACAACAATTAATGCTCAACTAGGAAAGAGAGGGGGGTGGAGCTAAGACAAGTCAAATTATGGATATCTAAGAATGTCTTGGTGGTAATCAAAACGTGAAATATATCATTTGAAAACTATTACGAATATAGACAACTAAAATATATACTTTTCAATAAATAAAACTCCATATTAAATCCCAAAACTTATCCGCTGCTGTAAATAACAAAAATATTTACTTTTATTCTTAAAACTAATTTTCTCTGAGTCTCTCTCTCTCTCTCTCTCTCTCTCTCTCTATCTTTTATTTTACTGACAGAAAATTTTGTAGATGATCAGCGCCCTAATCGGTAGATAACATAATGTTATTAATTTCTTAATATTTTCGAATTACAAGTTCTGTCAAACATGTCGTATCGAAAATTGATTACTATTATTGGAAACTAATAGGAATAACAAACGAATACATCATTAAAGTTAACTTCCAAATAATAACAATTCACAATCATCACTCCCCTTTCCAATCCCGCGTGGACGTCTCAAATGGATGTCCAAAAGAAATGAGTTTGGATTTAAAAACATTGATTCATTTGGGGTTAAAAGACTATAAAGGGTGGGGTGGGCATTGTGGCAGCCGAAATGGAAATTGGGTTGTATAGTATTATTTAAAACCCTTGCGAAATGTAACTTTTTTTATCTGATATTGTATCTTATATTATTTTTTTTTAAATTTGTATATATTATATGTATTACATCCAGCATGACCTTGATGTAATATTAAGGTCATTAACTAAAGTAAGGACTTACCTAAGGAGCAAATAAAGTTTACTTCATTAGAACAAGCAACCCATTCCCACGTCGATGTTCGGGGTGTATACATTGCACAACTTCCTCTGCCAGAGAAAGAATCCCCATCTTTATGAGTATACAATCGACCTACAAATTGTAGACAATACATTTCCAAATATATTTCTTAACAGAGGAAAATTCACGTTTCTGTTAAGCATAAAAGAAAGCTAGCTAAGATTTTAAAAATGGAATCCGTTTTCCACTAAGTTATTCGTATTATTTAGTGTGTTAGTATACAGATCAGTTTGTGGTTATTATTTTTAAAGACATCCAAAAACAGATATTTTAAATCAACACAACCATTTTTTTACCGTAGAATAAAAGCACGTTAGTTGTGTTCATATCAAGTTGACTAACCCAAACAAAATTGATAGTTTAACAATGCATCTAGTTAAAGCTATGCATATTTTAATGCTTTAATGTAAACAAACAAAACTAAACAAAAACATCGTGTTTCTGAACTATTGTTGAGTTGCGTGTTTTTAATTTCTCACCCGAATCCCAGACTGGAGCGCCCAGTGAAGACGCCCACAACAAACCTGTCCAGAAATTTTTGTCATAGAGAGTGTTTTTCTCAGCCAAACCCTGTCGACAGGAGAAAACGACGTAAACAACACAAATATGAAACAAACATCTACTACTATTTCTTGCGTGAAATCTTTACATTCATATAATTGTACAATTTATACATAACAATTTTCAAAACAGACACTGAAAAAATTCTGTACAATTAAAGGAGAGGTGTGAAACGATAATCATTTTAAGTTCTTAAAAGCAAAATAAGTTAGGTTTTGTGTATAAAGAAGCTGGAAATGCTGTTAATACTGTTTTATATTTGTGTTGATGGCATCTTCCTAAATTTCTCTGGATCTTAATTAGTTCTGAGATTTTAATAAAGACAGCAGAACTAGACGAAAAGAGGCTTAAGTTATTTTAATTTTAGGGAAATTAAAATTAAAATACAGCTTGGCGATGTCATCTTAAGTGTGGAACTGTAAAATTGGAGGGAGGGGGGGTAATTGTCTAATTAAATTGATTGTATTTTAAATGTTTTTCGGAGAATCTTTTCCTGCCAGAATAATTTTCTGGTTTAATGAAATCTTTTTACAACGAATTTTAATACACGATTTCATTCACAAACTGAATTAGAAAAAGATATGAATATGAATAAACTGTGGTTTTTTTAGTTTTAATTGTGTGTGCAAATCATCTTACGAAATTAGCACTTACAATGAATTTAATAATAGAAGTGCGTTAGATTGCCAACATCAAAGCCTCGAGTTTAAACCCCTGGATCGAGTCAGTACGATGAATGCTTTTAGGGAAAGTGCTGACCAGAGCAAATTGTCTTCGAATGTCGATGTCGTGAAAGCATGTTTTAAAGGTTACTTACTTTTTTATAACACAAGTTACATATTTTAATAAATCAATTACTCACCTTAAAAAATGAAGACCTATTTTCCTCCATGTCGGTAAGATATCCTCCCAAACTTCTACAGAAATGGTATGATTGATAAAAATCTGTTCTTTCAAAGCTGATAAGGTAGCAGGTATTGTTGTGTATTTCTGTGTGGTGTTTTTTTTCACCAGGACACTGTACAGAGTGATGTCCCTTCATTAGAGTAGCCGATACCAGAAGCATTATCAGCTTCATGTTCTGCATTTGTTTACTTTAAAACAAATACGAAAAAAAACGTCATCTAGTGTGATTTCATCATTTCCTCAACTTTGAAACAATTGTATAAACAACCAAATTTAAATATTATCATTTACAAATGCTTTAAATCGTACTATAAAACACAGACAAAAACTTACCCATCCAGCGTGCACGAGATTCACAATGCGACTACAACCAGGAAACTTAAAACGATGTAAAGAAACTGATGGCCACTTCATAGCCCTTCCTGTTTTAATTTTCTTTCTTTAGCCATTTATCTATCAACAAAGAAATACATTGTGCTTCCGAATTTCTAAATATACCAGCAGACGTGCACTTTTTGTCTTGATCATTTTTGTGAAGTGTTTACATAATTTTTTTTAAGATCGTTATTTTATCATCAGTGAAACAAAATTCTAGTTTGATACACTATTTTTTTAAAAGTGAGTTATGCCTATGTATTTATTTGACAACCCTACTTTATCCCTTTCAGGACCAAGGGACACCGGTGTCCCAAATTTTCAAATTATCACCAAACGAAATTGGAATAACATAGAGTTGTTGAATTTGCTTTAAAACAATTATTACACGATAGACTTAATCTTAATAAGGCTGTTTTCAGTATATATGAGATAGTTTTATTGTCATATTTATGGACACTTTCCACTTTAGACCATTCGCAAGGCTACAGTTTACATGTGTATATAATAAATACTAAATGTAACAGAGATAAATAACTGGTGGTTTTTTAAAGGTTCACTATTGAGGTATTATATTTACATTTGTTTTTCCTAATAGTTTCACTTTTTTTTAAAAGAGTAATTTGTTTTGCTTGGGACATATATGTCCGGAAGGGAGCTAACTTTTTTTTTTACAATGTCGCTAAGCATGTGTTTTAGCAGTTGAATACATATAGGGGCAGAGCTTTTATTTACTATCACTGAACAAAATACTGAGCAAATACTGTTTATAGACAATAATGACGATGAAAACAACTTGCTTTTTGATGACAAAGATGTGAATTTTCTGTAGAAAAATGTCGATAAAAGAGGGGAGAAGATATTATTGAATGACCTGTCAAGTCCCAGAACAGATTGTCACCAGTGATAAAGCCTACACCTTATTCTAGTCATTCTATTTTGCATACATCGTCAATCTCATATGCTATAGACTAATATTCCCTATCATCTGCATGGTAGCGCAGCCGATCAGTATTTTTGAACATGCCGCGCTGTCATTTCGTAAAATACATGTAATCTTGTATTTGACTTTTAGAACACCCCGCACAAAAAATATACGATGCACACTAGATTTTTCCCCGTATAGGGGGGGGGGTGGAAGCAGGCGTTGTAACTGAAATAGCAATATTAACAGAGAGTGATATTTCAACGCCAAAGGTAGACAAAGGTACAGAAAATAGTCCAAGTAAAGACAAGCAGTCAGACACCAACGGGTTTCGAACCTACCATTCCACACGGCACCTATCGCCATCGCCTTCCATGCATCAAGTCAGACGTGTAACCACTTCTACCACTAGGCCCTACAAAATAAGGCTGTCGTGGCAGACCACTCTCTTGGCTTGTGCAGTTAGACGCGGGACGGCTTTGACCCTTGACCCGAAAGGTCAGACCGCTAGCTTTCATAAACACAACAAGGAC